TAAACTGTATTCCAGGCAAATTTGCCTGGAAAATTTAATTGTATTTAGTATTTTTTAAATAAAATAATAATTTATTATCTCTAAGCTTAAACCCAATTATACTATAGAAGTATCATATGCTCATATTTTTCATATTTTTTTTCTGAAAACATTACAAAAAAAAACAGCAAGTTATAACCCAATCTATATTATAAAGTTACTACAAGATAAGTATAAATATATTTTTTTAATTTTTTTAAAATTTGTTTTTAACCTGTAATCTATATAACTAAAAAAACATTAACACTATATTGATATTTAATATTACTGTTTTTTCTATAGCATTAATAGTTAGCATAAGTAAAATATATAAATTGCTTTTTTTATTTTCTTTAATTAATAAGTAATATGAATCGAAGAGCTATAGCCTAGCAATTAAGACATGCAAGAGAGAAAGAAATATATGAAAACAAACCAAGTCAAAGAGCTATAGCTCAGCAACAAAGATAATCATATAAACAAGAGATACATACTAGCAAAACAAATCAAAGAGCTATAGCTTAGCAACAAAGACAAGTATATAGCAAGAGTTACATGAAAGCAAACCAAGTTCTAGAGCTATAGCTCAGTATGAAAGAAGAGAGCATAAAAGAATTAAAATCGTAATAAATATACCAAATAAAAAGTCTATTGCATAACAAGCTAGAAGAGAAAATGAATAAGCAAAAAGAGCGCATACTCTCATGAATAGTAAAATTCTACACTCCATCAAAATAATGTATAACATAACCTTGGCTATATGGATTTAGTGTGTTATTGCTATGGTGTACTTTATTGGCTAGATAAACATCTCAAAGTCTCTTCAAAATCTAATCCAAAGTTTGGAACATGTAAACAAGGCAAAGTTAATCTACTTACTCTTATGATTCACCTTCAATTCTGTGTTAACTCTTCAAAAGCCAAGATAAACAGTGCAAAAATTTTCACACAACTATATACCAGTACAATACAGCTCATATGTTTATTTCATTAGGAGCCAAAATAGATCGTACTGTTTTAAGTAGATATTCTTCATATTGTTTTCACATTCACAGTAAACTGTGTCACTTTTTGGGTTCACTTCTTTCTAAATATATTAGGAATGCAGAATATACACAATTTTATATTTATAATCTGGTTTTTGCATACCAATTAAGAATAAGAAGAAACAATAATTTTTGTGGGCAAACAATGTAGGAAATTCAGCAAATTCTTCAAGATTATCATGTATTTTACCTAAATATTGACAAGCACATGAAATTCTTTCTCAAGCTCATGAAGAAGCTGGTATATCTGAAACTGATTTATCTGTCTATCTTTATTTTAATACAGATACAGACAAACAACATTACAATCTTCCAACTGCAGATGAAGTAGCTATTATTTTACTTTGCAATAGATCAGCTCTGAAGGGAATGCATGACATTATACTGTGTTTACATAAAGGTTCACTTGAACATATTCATGAAGGCAATTTAGTATATTTACTATTACACTACATATTGTTTTTTCTATTTGGTGACCTTAAATAGTATGCTTAATTGTATCAAGTTATAGCTAATGAATATAGTATTTTTATTAAAAATCAAAATAATGCTTCATGCTTTATACAAATAGACTTTTATTCTTTTTGCCTTTTTTCTTGATATGCAGAGTTTTCTACTATTCTTTGTAGTGAAAAATTATTGCAAGAATTTATAGTAGATGTTTGGGCTGCAACTAAACAAAATTGGCTAAGATTCTTGCATAAAAATCAGGGCATACTATGGCAGATGTATACTATAGATTCCTGAAAATAAGCTACCTTTTTTTGAACGATTTTAAACTCAAAAAATCGAAGGTAGCTTATTTTTGGGACATAGGAGTTTTGAGCATTTTTATGCTTAACGCTGGGGTAGTTTATTATCGGGTGTTATATTTTTTTTATCGCTATGTTTGTTTTTTTATTTAATTAATTTTTTACTATTTTTTTATATTTTTAGAGAATTACTAGTTTAACTGGGGGAAGAAATTCCTGATTACACATCTTCAAGATCTGCATATAAGTATTAGTATTGATTTTTTTTTTTTATATTGCTATTTTTCTTTTTATTATAGTGTCTGCTTATCTACCCCTTTTTTTTTTTAGCATTATATTGTTCGTCATATTTCTGTGTTTCATAGTACGTTGTGCCATTGGGTCATCTATATAAGTATTGGTTTGGTTTTTTTT